GTCAAATAATTTATGTAGTCCAGGAGAACCTTTATCTTTTTTTTTTTTCTTTCCTTGACATGTTTTTTCTGGTTTACATGTCAATGTATTTCTTTTTTGGGAAACTTTCATTCAAACTTCCTAACTAACACTAGCTGAGCAGTTTCCATGTCAAGCCTTGGCCGTCATAGACACTGATGGCTGGTAGGGAAGGTACGAGTTTGATTTGGTCGCTGCCTCCAAAGGGTTAAATCTAGTCAGAACAACACCCTTGTGGACAACTGACAGTGCAGAATGTGCCCAGCAGTGACTTCACTTAACAGGTTCCTGGGAATTCCAACCAGAATCATGATCTTCTTCGCCAACAAGTCAGAGCAAGGGCTGCCAGGCTGGCAAACCCGAGCACCTGCCCCTGCCCACGTGGCTCCCACCGTCCAGGTGATATCGTCCACGCTTAGCACTGTTTTTACCTCTCAAACGTCTGCTTTCTACTCTTAGGTTAAGCTCACTTCTTGGAGTTGTCCAAAAATCTGTTTATAACATATTTAAAAGTGCTTGTTCTTTATTACTGTTTCAGCTTCTTCTTCCTCGGGCACTATTTTTTTTCTATGAATTTTGTTTTTGCCCTGCAAAGGTCCAACACCAGTGTGACTTTTCACAGGGTCTCTGTGAGATTCCGAGGCTTTCCTGTATAAGATCTTTGTTTTATTAAATTTTTTTTTTTTACGTTGGCAATTATAGTGGGGTACTACTGACTCTCATAATGTTACATCCTACTTGGTGACTTCATGTGCGTTATAAATACTAATCGTACGTTCTATCGTTCTATTGATACATGCAGCTGTCCTCTCACCACTTTCCAAGTTACAGCACTAGAAGAGTCTGAGAAGTCGGCCCCTCCTCCAAGTTTCTGAGATTAAGGACTCATTGCTGGAAGACTGAAGGACACCTCCATTGTGAGGCCTCAGGCTGTGGGTTGGAGTCCCACTGGATAAGGCGCCTAGGAAAGGCCACCTGAAACAAAGGGACAGGGAATGTCCCGTTGGCCTTCGGGAAAGTGCCAGGGGTGCCTGGGCCCAGTGGTCTGTACTGGCTTTGTGCACATTTGGGTTATTTCTTACTTTCTTCCTCTGTTTTGTCCTCTTACAATTCCAGCTAAGACATGGCAAGTCGCCTCTTCCTTTCCTACTCTCCTGTCTCCCTGCTCTCAGGGACAACCTATTTCTCCCTTTTTGCAACTACTCTCCAGTTTAAGTCCACTTTTGGTACAAAAGCCCTCCAGCTTCCACCCGAAATTTTAAGTACACCCTGGGCCTCCCTAGTGAGGCTCACCTTACTTCCAGGGGCTTTTGTTTAAAACCTCTTGAATATCCCGCATCAAAGAAAATGCAGTGTCCAAATGGACCATCTGCCACCGTAGAGTTAAAACGTGGAGTCTGGAGCTCACTGTGCATCTCTCTATTTTCTTTTCTGCCTACTTTACCTCTGCAGTGGCTAAGTTACTACTGGTGTCGAGACAAAGCTCACTGATTGTGGGATCAGCGATTCAGTTCACTAATTAGAGCAGAAAATTCTGGCTATGATATAAACATTGAAAACTCATTTCAAGCTCATTTAAAATCAAAAAAAAAAAAGTAAAAGAAGCTTTTCTTAAAAAAAAAAATCAAACTGCCACTGAACCCGCTTAGCCACAACTTTGGTCCTCAGCTTTCATTACATTACCTATTGTGGCAAGTAAAGTTTAGCCACATAAACGAGTGACAGTTTTGCCAGAAAGAATTTGCATCCAACCACTTTTTGCAAAATGATGAGTTTATATAGTTATCTCAAGACTGAAATTCAGAGGTTAAAAACTATGAGATCTTTGTGTACACATGTGTATATATGTTTAAATGTATTGATATGTATGTACATGGTTATATATTGTGTTTCCATGGTAACAAATTGGCTTATAAAGGTGTGCTCACAAATTAAATAAGTCTAAGTGCTTTTTAAGTTGATGTGAGTTTTTAATACATTTTTGCTAAACAAGCTAGGTTATTAGAAAGGAAAACTTACTATTTGTAAAGTAAAAACCAATATGTCTTCCAATTGCCAGCACACATTGTTGCCAGAGTTTGAGTCATTTTTACGTTTTACCTCTGCTTAATGTTTTAAGGTGTCAAGGTTAATACAAAGATTATAAAACTGTAAACCCAGCCAAAATCAAAACGATTGGTGTTTATGTGATTTTTGATAAGTAAGACTAATTGAATATTGATAGCTTAATGAAAACAGCTGCATCTTCTGAGACATTGGCAAAAACACCCATGCGTTTGTTGCTCTTATGTAATATACACAGGCTATAAAAATGGTTAAC